AAGCCGGGCCCACTCAGAACCATAAAGAGAGGCACTGGCAGCCCTGGCACCATCCACTCTGCTTATACTGGGTGAGCCTGTCAGGGCCTGTCGCCTCACCCATTCTCTTTCCTAGGTTCAGAATATGCTTAACTCACAGTGCATTCATTAGAGCAGAAACCATAAACTGTGTTTCTGGAGGCTTTAACTGATAAACAGGTCCCAGGAAGTGATGATTTACCTGAGCTCCCAGCTGGGACTGGAACTCAGGTGGGTCTGATTCACAACTCTTTGGAGATGCCTTCGTGAGCCAGGTCTGAGTGTCTATATAACCCACTACTCCCACTATGTCTACGGACTCAGCCCACTGCTGCTACCTCTTTATTATCCCAGGTGGGGCAGGCAGGGGCAGCTAGGGCGTGTTCAGAATGGATCCTTCCTGCAGGGCAGCTGCCATGGAAAGGCACGGAGCTGGAGTAGGGCAGCCCCTCTGCCCCACCCAGTCCCTTCCCCTCCACATCAAACCAGACACAGTGTGCTGCGCAGCTATGTGCCCACCACATACCCTTCATCCCCAGGAGGCCCTTTCACATACACCTTTAAAGCAAATAAAACATTTATTGTTCAGATTTTTTTCCCATTTTTTTTCTTTTTCTTTCCTTTTTTACAAAAACATGCATACATACACAGGGTATGGTGGTCCTAGGGAAGACACACACACACACACACACACACGCGCGCACACACACACACACTCACTGTCTCTCTCTCACACACATTCACACACACTCAAAATACTTTCCTTCTTGGCCCCAGGCCTGGACCCCAAAAACCAGGGCAGTCTCCCCTCCCCCATGTCTTGCATCCACTCTCCCACCGCCTTTTCCCTCAACCACGCTAGACCTATGTGGAGCAGGAGTCAGAACTTGCGTAGGGGAGACCCCAGAAAAAGAAGGCTCCTGGAGTGGGGCAGTGACCAAGATATACCTGGGGGTCACACTGTGCTTCTCAGGGGAGATGAAGGTTTGGCACCATTAGATCAGGAAGCACAGAACTCCAAGAGCACCCATCTGCTCCACCAGAGCAGAGATGGTCGACATAGGGTGGCCTCTGGCAAAGGCAGGGGCCCGATGGAAGGCCTACTGATGACTGCTCTTGAGGGAGCTTTGTCTCACTGCCCCAGTGGTGGTGGTGGTCGGGGAGGGGAGCTTCCAGAGTCATCCGAGTAAGCAAGCAAGAGGAGGAACTCCCACTGTACTTACGGGTATATGACCCCTTGGCTCTTCCTATCTACTCCCCTGCTCCAGACCTCGGAGCCTAGGAAGGGCCACACTGGCTAAGGCCAAGTTCACATTTCTGTGTGGAGCCTGGGGCTGTGTGCAAAGTCCAGGGTCTACAGAGCCAAGAATAGTGGTTATGGATGGGCCCAACTGAGCCAGTCCTCCTCTGTGCAGTCCTGAGGAATTGGGGGCCCAGCAGGGGCCTGGACCCCACAGGGGCAGACTGTTCTTGGGAGAGCCCTACTGGGGTCTGGCCAGCTTCCCAGCCTGCCCCCTCAGGGTCCTCTTTGGTCCCTATCCTAGATCCAGGGGCCTTCCCAGCCTCCTTGGGTTGACTATCAAGGGGCTATTCTCTGGCCCCAACCACCTGCCCAGAGGCTCTCTGAAGACTCTGGGAACAGGTGTTGTTGTCAAACGTGAGAAGAGAACCAGGTCCGAAGGGCAGGATGGGCGAGTAGATTCATTCTGAAGCCTTAGAGATTCATAGGTTCTTCTTCCTCCACCAGCTGCTCTGAGGGCCTGGGGGAGGACAAGCATGGGGTTACTGGAGGGCATGTGGCTCCAGGAAGGGCCTCATCCCAGCTTCCCAGGAAGCCTGAGAAGGCTGAGTGGCTGTGCTGGGATCTGGGATCCTCAAGCTAGGAGGGCCCGAGGGGTGGAGAGGCTGCAGGCAGGGATCTGGCATCACCTCTCTTCAGCCAGGATGCCCACGGAGAGGGATGCCAGTGCGGTCACTGCCTCCACTTCTTCTGCGTCGGCCCCTGGCACCCTGGGCACCCAGGGCTCCGGACAGGAGGCCAGGCGTTGCATGCAGGCCCAATATTTACCTGGGACAAGAAGCTGAGTCAGAAAGGGTTGGGGAAAACAAGCCCCTCTCCCCTGCCATACCACACATACGAAACTGATACTGAGACCAAATACCTCAGGCCAAGGGCCCAAGAGTACTGTGCGTGTCCTTGGTGTAGGGTCGGCTCTCACCTGCCTCTACCCTCAATACAATGCCTTCCCTGGCTTTACCCCCGCAACCATGAAAGGGCGAGCAGAGCAGATTCAGCATGGCTATGAGGTGGCCTAGTAGGTGCCCAAGCCATTATCCTACCCCTTGGGCTGAGAGACTACCTCCAACCCCTTCCCATAGGTGTGGAATTCCTAAGGACACCAGTAGGGCCCACTTTTCTGAAGATGGGATCCATATCAGAGTGACCTCAGATCCCAAGCCCTGGCCTCCTGGAACACAGGGTCCCACTCACGTCAGCGCCCAGCAATGCTCAGCCCAGCACACAGGACAGGAGCGAGAGGGAGGAGGGAAGGACACAGCACCAGGAAAGCTGCCCATCACTAGGGTTGCTATGGGTGGCTATCGGCAAGCCACCTACCCACCCTGGGCAACCACTGCCTCACCTAGATCATGGACATGACCACCCTGCCTGCTGCTGCCAACAGCCTGTCAAGTCCTGGGAATACACCCAGAGCCCAGCCCAACACGAGGGCTCCATACAAAGCACCAGCAGCATCTTCATGTTATATATGCTTCCCTACTGAGCCTAGATGTGAGGAAATCTATTTTATTCATTTTTGTATCCCTAGCATAGATCACGGGTCTTTACAAGTGCTCCATAGATGCTGAGTTGAAGTTGAAAATTTAAAGTGCTTTCTCAACGTGGTGTTAGATTCTAAGACCTAGCCCCCAGAGTGAAAAGAGCTCCCCAGACCCCTGCGGCTGGGACTGAGGGTCAAGGTGGGAACTGCACTTTCAGCAAACAAGGCCCAAGTGTCACTGTTAACCTGGTCCTGGCCTAGGGCTGTGACTGGAGACGGGAGGCCAGTCCAGCCTTGAGGTGACAAGTGTCTGGTGGTCCTTGTTGGGTCCACCTGGAGGGCTCCAAGGATATCCACTCCTCGGGGTGCCATCCCACCATTCCAGCTGGGGTAACTATAAGAAGCCTACTCTTAACCAGCCCCAGAATCCCCAGCCTGGCTGGTGGCAGAAGCTTGGGGACATCAGACCCCTTGGATTCTCCCAAGTCTGGGGTCAGCGGGTGTCCTCTTTCCACACTCACTGTGCACCCGGATCACAGAGTCCAGAGAACGGATGGCGTTGAGGTTGGGTTTCTGCTTCCAGCCTTCTTCTGAGAGGGGGTCCACCTGTAGAAGAAAATACCACATCAGCCACCAGTCTCGGTGCCCACAGCCCAGCTCTCTCCCACCCCAAGGGCCCTGGCTTTCGGGGCACAAATAGGCATATGCTCCTGGCTCTGCCTAGGGTAGGCAGTGCTGGCTCTTGACCTGACCTGGGGAAGAGGCATCCACTCCATCTCCTTCATTCCGGGCCTAGCCAACCCCGCCTTATCTGAGCCCTCGGGAAGGCACCCCATCTGCCTGGCTCTTTGGAGCAGTCCTGGGAGGGCCGGGCTCCTTGCCCCATGGAGGTGTGGATAGGGGGGTGGGCAGCTCACCTTGTTGCCCAGAAGAGCAGCCACACAGGCCTCAGAGGCGTCACAGATGGCTGTGAGGTCATGGCCGCCCTCCAAGGCCAGCACCACTGCACCTCCTGCCAAGCTCATCAGCTGCTGTGTCATGTACCCAAAACCTACATGGTCAGAGGGGAAGTGTGGGAGGGGTGGGGGTGGAGGAGCGGTGGGCCCTTTCCATCTATTATTTTTCTGCTTGCTTCTTCCCTTATAATGATGCAGACACATGGCTCTCTACTTTCCTAAGTGCTTTCTCATGGAATCCCACGAAAAACCAATTGTTATGCCTCACTCAAGGCTCAGAGAGGTTAAAGGACTTGCACGAGGGCCCGCAGTGGAAATGGGAGCGCCGACTTCGGCCAGCATCTTTTTCACTGAGCCACACCATCTTCTTTCTGTCCTCTAGGTCCTGTAGGCCAGTAGGCCAAGTGGGGCCCCTCTGTTCTGAGAACACTGTTCCTCTCCATCTTCCTGGAGGAGAAGCTGCCAGCCCAGCCTGGGAATGACGCAATTGGGGTGGTGAGAGTCCTATGGCTGAGCTTCCTGTCTGTCAGACATTAAGTCCTCACAGTGTGACTTAGTGAACAGACCTGGTCATGAGAAGGGGCCCTAAGCTGTACTCGGCTAGGAGAAATCAGGGAATTCCAAGGTCAGCTGCCATACCCCAGTCCTCACACTCATGGCCCTGGACCAGCCATTGCCGCCTTCCCCTTGACTTGGCCAGTCCTCCCCTCCCAGCCTAGCCTTCACTCCCTACACCGCAACGCGCCCCCACCACCACCCAGGGCTGGCCCCTTCTTACATCTGGCAGAAACATGGTAGCCACCTAGTGGGGCCGGGTGACCCTCGGCAGCATCAAACCCAGCTGACACCAGGACCAGGTCCGGAGAGAACTCTCGGGCGATGGGCATCACAACTATCCTGTGAGGGTGCGAGGAGAAGGGGGGCTTACCACATTGTGCAGGTCTGTGGGGACAGAGGCCAAGGGGCCCTGTCCACCAACTTCACTGTGGGGCACCGTGTTCTTAGGCCTCCAAGACAACCAATCTCCCAGCAGGATTAGTGGATCCTTCTGATTTCTTTGACCTTGGCTGGCCACCCATATCCGTGGCAAAGCCTAAAGACTCAGCCACTCAGTGCTCTTAACTGGCACAAGGCAGGAAGAAGCCAAGGATGGGACATCAGAAGGAATGAAAAGGATACTGTGTGTGTGTGCATGTGTGCGTGTGTGCGTGTGTGTGTGTGTGCGTGTGTGTGTGCGTGCGCGCGCGCACGCACGCACGCACTTGCAGAGTGCAGAAGGCAGGACCCCAGAAAAGGGGCAAGTTACTAAGGGGCAAGTCACCTAAGGGTGACTAGACTCTGAGGTCTTCGGCCACCCAGATCCATTCTTTTCTCCTCAGGCCTTGCTGTCCCCCTCTGCCCCCACATGCCACCCTGCATCCCTGACCACTTCCGGGGTCCATTTTGACATCTTCCAAGGCCCCAGGCTCTGGGCACACAGATACCAAGAACCCCAGCCCAGGCCTCCTAGAGAATTAGCTCCCACGGAGAGTATCTCCAGAAAAGTATTTGGAGAACTACTTTCAGGATTCCTTTTCCCAAATGGAGTACAGGGACCCCAGAGTGAAACATATAAGGGCTCCTGGACAGAGCCCAAAGCTGCTCTTCTAATGATGTTTTTCTCAAGCAACTTCCCCAATGTGGACATCATCTGTTTTCCCTCTTTCTCCACCATTTATCTTTCTCACCTCCTGCACAAAATCCACCTCCTCCAGGCAGATTTCTTTGACTGAAGGTAGCAGCTCCACTCACTCTACCCTGCCCATCTCTCAGCACTCCTTTCAACACTGGCTCTTGGTAACGTATGGCTTTATAAAGCACCCTTTGACTTTTTCATTCTGTTTCCTGTCTTCTCATCAGGAGTGGGGGCTACTAGAGGCCAGTGAAGCAGTGCATTTTCTTTCGTTTGTCTTGGTTCCAGGGCTGGCTTATAATTTCTACTAATTGGATGAGGACAGGCCGACAAGTCAACTGATCGCCTTCAACTTGTTGCTATTAGGAAAAGGGGCAGGAGAGGATGGTCTTGCTAGGTGGAGCCTCCTCTGGGACCCCAGAGCACTTACCTAAAGGCAGCCAGGTACTCAGGGTCCCCCATTGGGGGGTCCAGACCACCGGCCCAGGCCACATTGACGTTGAAGCCTTCACCGCTGCCAGCTCCCACCTGGAAAACAGGATGCAAGAGAGACATGAAAAGAGCAGAGTCTCAGGAGGGGAACCCCAGGATGTTAGTACTGCAAGATTGGCTTTTCCACCCTCTTCACTTCCAAATGGAGAAACAGAGAGGCTAAATAATCTACCCAGGATCACACAGCTAGTTGTGACAAAGGCAGAGTAAGGGCCATGAGGGAGAGTCAACAGGATTGGAAGGGGTGGACCCAACATGTGGTTACCTCATCCACAGCCCCACTGCCCGGAAAGAAGTTGCCATCGTCATGGCGATGCAGGGAAATGTAGAGCACACTGGGGTCCTGGTAGAAGGTCTGCTGGGTTCCATTGCCATGGTGAACATCCTGTATGGGGAGATGGGCAGTGGATTAGGGAAGGTCTGAAAGAAAGGACATGGAAGCTGGAACAGGCTGGAAGGGTTTGAGGCCAGTGACCATAGAGGATCAGGACTCTAGACTGGGGGTGAGGAAACTGAGATCCCTAGAGCTAAACTGTGGAATGGATCCATGGGTCCTCTCTGAACCTCAGTCTCTCCATGTATTCTGGATGGGGGTGGCTGAAATATGAGACCCTGAAGGGGAGGAGGCATGGCAAGGGCAGGCCCGCCAGTGAGAGAGTATGTGGGGGTAGATTAGTGGCAGGAGGAAGAGTCCAGGTCACACGTCAGGAACCCTCACTGCTGTGTCTAGCCCACGGTCATGGAGTGATGCAGGTGATCAGAGACCAAGCTCAGTTACAGAGGGGCAGGTACAGGGGGCCCGGTGCCATCCGTCCTAGAAAGAGCTGTGGCCCTGCGATTGGTAACTTGCAGGACCAGGCATGGGTGCAAGTGTGGAGAGCTCCTCCACTGTCCTCAGCTTCTGCGTAGGAATGTCCCATTCACAGAGGTCAATGCAGAGTGGGATAGCTTAGTAGTTAAGATGCGTGTACTCTAGAGCTAACCACCTGGCTTCAAATTCCTGTCTCAGGATGTACTTGGTGTGTGGCTGTGTGTAAGTTACTTAACCTCTCTGTGTTCACTTTACTCATCTGAAAACCAGGTGATAGTCAGGATTAAATACGTCATATGAAATTAGTGGTATGTTGATGTTATCTGCTGTTACTGTCACTACTTGTAGGGGAAATGCAGAAATTAGATGTGCAGAAAGACGCCAACAGAGGCCAAAAGACAGCACTCAAATGGCTCCTCCCATTGTGGGAGTTTGTTGTGGCTGAACACCTTCCCATTCACCATCTTCTCTGGGCCCCCTCAACATCTCCCGTGACATGGGTGTTATCTTCACCCGCATTTTACACAGGGGTAAACCGAGGCTCAGGAGGCCAGTGCAGAACCAGGACATGACCCCACATCTTCTGATGCCAGGCTCAGGGCTCTTTCCACAAGGCTGTCAGGTCTGAAGGCACGAAGGACCAGGACCTACCCAGTCCACAATGAGGATCCTGCTGGCCTTGCCCTGTTGTTGTAGCTGCCGGCAGGCGATGGCCACTGAGTTGAAGAAGCAGAAGCCCCTGGGAAAGGAGAGAGGTCCTGCCAGCCCATTCCCTCCCATGTCTCCACCTCTCCAGCTTCCTCTCGCCACAGGATCATGGCCTGGCCCAACCCCAAAAAACCCAGGGGAAGTAGGAAATGTCTCCCGTCTCGCCCCACCCAGGCTTCTCCCAGGCCTTACATGGCTGTGGAATGGTCTGCATGATGTCCTGGGGGCCGAACCACAGCAAAACCATTCTGGAAACAGAAAGAATGCTTATCAGCCAAATGGCCAGCCCCCTGGTCCATGAACCTACCCCTAATCCCAGGCTCCTCCCCAGAGAAGTAGCCCCGGGCAACAGCTGACTGTGTCCAGGATGGATCTGAAGTGCCCTGGTACTCGGTCCCCAGGCCAGCGGCCTCTGCTTTCAGGCTGGACATTAACACAGAACCCCCCTCCCCGGTATGTCCTGGCTGTTAGCACTTTGTAGTAACAATAGCTACTGTTCGTTAGGCCAAAAGCACTGAGCCTGGCCCTGTGCTGAACGCTCTGTAAACACTGGATTTTACCCTCACAACATCTCTCTGAGGTAAATGTTATCTAATTCTCACAACATCTCCAAAAGATAAACATTATTATTATCTCTAGTTTACAGACAAGGAGAAATCTCAAGCTTAGGCAGGTTAAGCAACTTGTGCGAAGTTGCCTGGTTGTAAATGATGGAGCCAGGGTTTTAAACCCAGGGCTGTGCCCTTAGCTGTAAAACTCCACCAAGGGGATAAGACACCGAGGACACCTTGACCATCTTGAATTGAGCTCTTAAACAATGCAGGGGTGTGGACCTCAGGACAAGTCTCTGTAAGGTGCCCGGCCCAGAGTACCAATTCAGTCCATAAAACCTCAGCACTATGAAGAACCAATTTGCCAATGCACAGAGATCCAGAGACAGTCTGCCACTTGCCTATGGTCACACAGCGGCCTGTGTTAAATGATCCTGGATGATCACGACCTCGGGTATCTTACACACCAAAGGCCCAGGGTCACAGTGGCTTGACTCCCCACCAAGTAATATGAGCCCAAGGTTCAAATTTCATTTTCGTTCCCAGAGCTCTCAATTTCCCTTCCAAAATCCTGTGGTCCTATCCTAGAGAAATGAGATGTCTGGGGCTCTGGACCTGGCCTTCCCTGCTGCCCCATCCTGCCGCCTTCTCTGCGGCTTGCCCACCTTCAACCCAGACCTCCTACCTTTAGCTCACGGGAAGCCACTTTGAAGGCCAGGTCGATGACACTGCCGGCAGCCCAGCGGGCTGCATTGGAAGAGTGCATCTCATTCCAGATAGTGTCAGTATCCACCTGTGGGGGCCAGAGTCAGGGCACGCATCATCCAAGGCTTCCCACAGGAGCCAGGGCCCATGGGTGGTACCCACCCCAGGGGCAGGACCCCAGGGGCAGGGAGCTGGACAGACAGTGCTGCCTCCCCAGTGCCCCACCACCCAAAGGCAAGGCCTCCTGTATCCCCCAGTCCCAGCATGATGTCTCCTTCCCAGCTTCGGTCCATATCACCAAGCCCATTATCTGGCCAGCACTCTGCCGGCGGCATCGCGCGTGCCTCCCCGGTCAGAGTAGGGGGCATGGCGTTACCTGGGTGGGACTTGGGGTTTGGGCCGGGAGGGGGTTTTAAGCCCCAGCTGGCTCTGCTCAGGCCCTGCGGGATGGTCGGAGCTCGAGGGGCCGTCTGCACCACTGTCTTCCACTCAGGGCCCCTAGCCCAGGCTGGGAGGCCCCCCAAACCCTGTCCCTGGGCCTCAAGGCTAGGGAGGGGCCGGGGGGCATGATGGGGAGATGGGGAGGGCGAGGCGGACCAAGAGAGGCGAGGAAGGCAGAGAGAGTCTCAAGAGGCTGGAGAGAGAGAGAGAGAGAGAGAGAAAGGGAGAGGAGGGAGGAGAAAAAAGAAGCAACAACAGTTGGAAAAATCAGAAAGTGGCAAGAAATGGGAAGTTGTGAATAGGGCGCTGACTGGCTCCCAAACAGCATCCCAGCTACAGCTCCCCTTTCCCTCCAGAACTAGGCCTCCGTCCCCTGCCTCCACACACCTGGCTGGAGAACCACTGCGGGGGCCTCTTTAGGCAAGGAGAGCACTGTTAAGGAGGCAGGAAGTCCCCCGAGTAGGGTGAAGAGAGAGGAAGGAAAGCTGGGGAGTGGGAGGGAAATGCCTGAGTCTCTAAGAATACTGGAGGCACCCCCGTACAGCCCCAATTCTGCCTGGAGACCTGTTCCAGGAGGCCAAACAGCCTGGAGGCTGGCATGGAATGGCCAGTTCTGACCACTGGGGCTAATGAAGGGAGATGGTCTTGGCCCTGCTCTTTGAGCCTCACTCAACATTTACCAAACACCTTCTAAGTGTGAGGTACAAGGCTCCACACTCAGGAGACACTGGTAGGCCAAGGACACACCTCTCCACAAGGAGCTACTAGCCAGCAGGACATTATGGGAAAGTCCCTGGCCCGCCGGCTTTGGCAAAACCACGAGAACAAACAGATAGGGGCTGAGCCTGGGGAAACAGAAGGGAGGCGATCCCAGAACCCGTGGCAATGCCTACTCGAGACCCCTGGGCACACTTACCCCAACCTCACCACAGGACAGCAATACAAACATCCGCTGTGCCATGAGCCCTGTGGAGAGAGGCCAGTATATATGAACCGAATCCTCTCAGCCTCTGGCCTGGCCAGGAGCAGGGAGGCCCTGAAAAGAGAGCCAGGGCAGGTGTACAGGGCAAGGTGGGGGTGGGCAGCAGAGGGACTAGGGGCGACATGGGGATGTACAGGATGCTGGAGGGACAAGCTGGGCAGAGCTGGGATGAGTGAGACAGGGGATAGGTAGGCTGGGTGAGCCAGGGGAGGTACGGGGACCCCAGATGCTACTGGGCCCCTACCTGCCAGCTTCCCATTGTCCAGTTTGAGGTTGCTGAGTGGGTTGGTGCCGTAGAGGAGCACATGCCGCTCAGAGTGCACCGACTGCAGCTCCTCCAGGGAGGCCTTCCGGCCCCGGAGACACTAAGGAAGGACCCACAGAGCTCCTGAGCCCTGCTCACGCCCTTCCCTACCATTACCACCACCCCGCCTGCCCCCTCATCTCATGCTGGCTCCAGCGCCTCCACCTTCCCTTCTATCACTCTTACCTCCTCAGTTCCACAGCCCCCACCTCACCTCCTCACCTCACACTGGCTCCGGAGCCCCCGCTCCTGCAGGCGAGACCAGATGCTCTGGATGCGGCCTGCGTGCTCTGGATGCCTGCTGTTGTCTCCACAGGAGCACTGGTGCTTCAGCATGACCGAGTCATAGACCAGCCCTACCCGGAGCAGGGAGTCCTCACTGCCTGCTCGCCCTCCCCCCATGGAGCCAGACCTGGCACAACCACCCCCGCGCCATGCCATCCTGAACTTTGGCCCTTTACACCCAGACTCACACCCCCAGCTGCTTACCCTGCGTGTGTAACCACCTCACACACACACACACACATACACACCAAGCCAACACAACTGCCACACAGCCACTGCCTTCCCAACACAACGACCCTCCTCATATGGCTTGATACATGGACTATGAACTCAAGAACTCAGAGGGTAAGGAAGGGAGGCCTAATGTCAGGGCCTCACACTGAATGTCATGACCCAAATAGGCTGCCACGGGGGAGCAAGAGGAGAAAGAATTCCTCAGGAACCCCAAAACCAGGAGTTGGGAGGCCCACAGTGATACTGGGCTATGTAACAAGACAGATAGAGTTTTGGGGAAGTGACTGTTACAGCCTGACCAGTGGGACACCTAGAGGAGGGCCCTGTACACTGCCAGTAGGGTAACTGTCAAGACATCAGGGACCTTCAAAATGTTCATACTATTTGATCCAGAAACACCACACCTTAAGAGCAACCCTTGGTAAACAACTCCGGGGATGAGTAAAAGTTTATGGACAAGGAAATCCAAATGAGGAAAAATGAGTAACCCATCTAACTGCCCAACTAGGAAAAAATCTTTAAGTAAAAATAAAATACTGTGATGAAATACTGTAACAATCTCATTTCTAAGGACTAATCATATTATGAAACATTCATAATATGTTAACTGAATACAGCAGAGTAGAATGTGTATATGGCACTTGTGTTGGTACCTGAATACGGTACATACTGTGTTTGTATGTGTGCATATAGCTGGAACAAAGACTGGTCAGAATATAGGAGCATTTAAGAGTGGCTGCCTCTGGGTGGTGGGATAATGGTTGGTGATTTTTATTCTATTCTTATGCTTTTCTGCAATTTTCAAAATTTCTAAAATGCTTTTGAGCTCTTTTCACAAGCAGAGCAACAAAAATAAATTCCATTTTTGAAAGGCCTAAACTAGTTGTCAAGAGACCCTGACAATTCTTAGCCTGGCCTGACTGCCAGCTTGCTATTTGACAAGCTTGTCACCTTAGAGTTCCTGAGCCTAGGTCTCCTCATGTGTAAATGAGATCCACCACCTAGTCCTCCTGCTTCATGGATGCTGTGTGGATCTCAAAAGATCAAGAAAGTGCTCTGTGGCCTCAAAAACTGTCCTGAGTGACATCACGATACAGACATGGACCCGTGCCCGAACCTCTGTGTGCCCCAGCCCCTTCCTCCTGCCCCACTCTAATACGAGTCTTACCTGTGGTGAAGGGTAGGGTCCTGGAAGGGGTTTCTGAGCTGGGCAGGACATGGGCCTGGCTGGTGGGCTCCAGGATTGACAGTGAGGCAGCTGGGGATGACTGAGTCCTGGACAGCGGCCGGTGACCACCCTGAGCCAGCGGAAGATGCACAGAGTCGCCAGTGCCTACCCGAGGGAGCCGCCCGGCCAGTCGCTGCTGCTCCCAGAGAAACACCTGAGGGACACAGCGGGGCCTCAGTCTCCAGTTTCTCAGGATCCTGTCCTATGTGCTTCTGCCCAAGGTCTTGGAAACCTCCCTACAGGCCCCCTTTGGGGAGAGATTCCAGGATGCCTCTAGCCCCACCTCCCAGCCAGGTTCTGGCCTTTGACTCTGAGCTTTCTACCCCCACAAGCCCCCAAAGGTCTACATCTCAGACTGACCATCCCTTTCCCCCAGAGCTCCCTGGGCCTTTGGGACTCCAAAGCCAGAACCCAGGTGAGGGGCCTCAGGCCCAGCTCTAACCAGGATCTCCTCTTCTCCAAGGACTGTGCAGCCACCCAAGGACGTGGGGACCTGCACGAGCCACTGTATGTGTGTGGACTGCTACCACGTGTTATGGGCTGAATTGTGTCCCTCTCCCACTTCATGTCTGAAGGAAATCCTAACCCCTAGTACCTTGGAATGTGACCTTAATTGGAGATAGGGTCTTTACAGAGGTAATCAAGTCAAAATGAAGTCATCAGAATGAGCCTTAATCCAATATGACTCCTGTCCTTATAAAGAGGGGAAATTTGGACACAGACATGGACAGAAGGAAGACAACGTGAACACACACGGAGAAGACAGCCATCTACAAGCCGAGGAGAAAGACCTGGAACAGCTCCTTCCCTCACAGCCCTCAGAAGGAAACAACCCTGCCAACACCTCAATCTCAGTCTTTTAGCCTTCGGAACTGTGAGGAAATAAATTTCTGTTGTTTAAAGCACCCAGTTTACAGTACTTGTTACAGCAGCCCTAGCAAACTAATACCCCATGGCTTGACTAACATGGTGAGAGTGCTCTGGTTGAAGCGCTTGAGCCAGCTCTGCCCCACCTCTTGCCCTAGCCACCTTCCCGGAGACAGTACAACCGGTCATAGGGAGAAGTATTAGAGTAGGAACGTGTATGGCTCCATGAGAGGCCAGCCTCACTGCTGGAAAAGGGACATGGCTTCACGCTGAGCCTGGCAGGCTGCTGCAGTGTGCATGTAAGTGTAAGTGTGCATGGGTATGGGTGTGTGTGTGTGTGTGTGTGTGTGTGTGTATCCGTCTGCACCTTGGTCTGGATCTGGCAGGGCAAACATGGTTTCCAGAGCTATTTCTTGCACTCATATCCTATCTCCCTCCCTTCCATCTATGCCACGGCCCAGCATCTCCCACTCACATCTTCCAGGGGGCACTTGGGCACTGCCATACCTGCTGGTGCTGCTGGAGCGGAATAGGGCCTCTGGCCTCATGCTGCCCATGGCTCAACTCCCTGTGTTCCAGGCTGTCATCTCCCAGTGGCCCCACTCCTCCACCATCTGTCTCCAAGTCCTCAGCTGAGGGTATCTGCCATAGTCGGGGCTTCTCACTTGGCTTGGCTGGTCTCTGGAGAGGGGAGACGCCCGCTGAGAAGTCATGCTGGAGTGCGGGCTGTGGGGTGGGACATGATGGGCTTGGTGGCCACTCATCTGACTGGGACTCCTGTGGCCATGCAGCTCTTAGTCCCTAGGAGCCACTTCCTCACTCTAGCCCTCCAGATCCCTGCCGTTCTGAAGCCTCCCTTCTTCTTTCAGCCCCCAGGGGCCCAGTTAAGCAACCCCTCACCACCTCCCCTACCCAGTTCCCCTCACCTTGATCAGCTGGACATGAGGTTTGAGCTGCCCTATGCTGGGCTGCAGGGGACCCAGCGGTGGGGAGGCGGTGGTGCTTGGGGGCAGGGGCTCTGAGCGGGTCCAGCTCAGTGGCCAGTGGAGGCCTGACCCAGGGAGCCGCTCGGTGGTCAGTAAGGACTGGGCCAAGTGGAAGAGCAGGGGCCCAAGCCCAGGCCCTGGAAAGAAGGGGTTGGGGGGCATAAAGAGGGAACCATGGGGATGAATGGAAGAAAGCAAGGACGTAGGGTGGAGGGCAGGGACTCAGCAGCGAGACACAGAGAAGGATGGGAGGGTGGCAGAGGGGGCAGGAAGGATGGGATCAGTCCCAAGCTTGGCCCTTAGCAGGGTGCCAGGATCCAGCCCCTCCCCTGGAGAAGCAGCAGTACTTACCAGTCTGCAGTGGGGCATGAGAAACTGAAGGATCCAGGAAAATGGGCTGTAGGCGAGAGGGCATGGGGCCACCAGTTTCAGGCTCCAGGCCATGGGGAGGAAATAGGGGTGCATGGGGGCTTCCCAGGACTGGCCCCCGAGGGCCCATTGTTGGATGTGTCCTGCGGTCACCATCAGCCTGGGGAGGAGGTGGGGAGGAGTCACAGGGGAGCAGGTTCCAACAGAAAGAACAGTGAAGGCAGTGGGGTGAGACGGCAGGAGAAGGGAATAAAAGAAGCTGAGGAGCTTGGCATGGGGGAGGGCGCCTCAGCCACTCACCCTGGCAGGGGCAGGCAGCCCCAGTGTGATTGCGGGCAGCAAGGACACTGTCGGCAAGGCGAACGGGGCCAGAGAAGTCTCCTGCCGCCGCAGCCGCTGGCCCAAGAGCGCCTGCCATAGGGAGCAGGGCAGGGGTCACTGGTCCCAGACCTCCACCCCCGGGCCAGCCCTCCCCAGAACACCCAGGAGGCTCAGGTGGCGCTGCCCAGACCCTGTGGCCCCAGCCTGGTCAGGGTCGCTTGTTGAAAGGAAGGCTGAGCCTCAGAACTGCCCTAGAGAGTCCAGCCAGCGAGGCCTTACCTTTGAGCCCAGGACGGGGTAGGGGCCGTGCTCACTGTCGTTGGGGGAGCTGCACCCTGATGCAGGTGTGCTGCTACTACTGGGGGAGGAGTCTGAGGGTGGAGAGGGAGGGAGGCAGAGTTAGAGACCAGGCGGTAGCCAGAAGGGTGGCCTCTGCTTCTCACTTTCCTCCCAGAAGGATAGGAAAAAAGCAGGCCACCATTAGTCTCCAGGGTCTTTGGACTTTTTTTTTAAGGCACCCCTTCTTCTGGGCAGATGTCAGCTTAGCCAAGAGAGCAGGGGTTGGCTTTTAGCCCCAACTTGCCCCCTAGCAAGAGTGTAGGACATATGCTGTACAACCAGCCACCTATGATAGCCCTGAGGAGGGGACCTCTGCCTTGGTGGCACCTGGCCCAAAGGGATGAGATCAGCCAACCCCACCCGTGTTGTTGGTCCTCACCTCCGAGGGTCTCTGCAGGCCGCCGCCGGAGACTGGGAGGGGCGCTCTCCTTTCTGAGTAGTGGATTCTTCCTCTGCTCCAGGGACTTCTTGGGCTTGTAGCGCAGCTTCAGGTTGGGCTCAGAGACTGCGGGAGCACCAGCATTACTCAACCCCACACCCACCCTCCTCCCCTCTGCCTGTTAGCCTTCCCCCCCAGTTATCCCATGTCCAAGGCCCTCTCCCTTAACCCCTCTGTTGGGTCTCCACCTGCCCATACCACTCACCTGTCTTACGTAGAGGGAAGTGTTCTGGGGGGTCACTGGGCAGGCTGGGAACAGGAGGCAGAAAGCTGCTGAGCATGGAGCGGGCAGCTCCTTCCGTCTCCAAGGCCTCGAGAGTTCTATGGAATGAGTGCCAAGGACTGCTTCAGAGGAGCAAGGATGCCCAGAGGCCTGGAAGCCACCTCATTCCACAGGGGCGCTTTCCTGAGCATGGGCATGGGACCTGCCAGGGAAAGTGCAGCCAGCAGGGTGGGCTACATGGGGCTGACAGGAATAGGGGCCACGGCAGCACGGGGCCTCCCATCCTCACATGCAAAACTCTGATCTTGGCAGAGGAGCAAGGGTCCCAGACACACTGGGAACTCTGACTCAGGTGGGAAGAACCTGCTCAAGGAATCAGAATATATTTGTGCTTAGAGGCGACATAAAAAGAGAAAGGAAAATGTATGGAAGAAGACTACCAATGGGGTGGTGTGTGTTTGTGTGTGCATGCATGTGCACAAAGAAGGGCCTCAGGTCGGGATGGGGAGAGATAATTAAAGGAGAGAAGAGGGCAGATGTCAGTTGGGAGAAGGAACTGGGGGATGTACATTACTTTAGGAGGTGAAGGATAAGGATCAGGTGATGGGCAGCGGGGAGGAAGGGGAGGGTATGTGAGTGCTCACAGATGGAATTATAGGGATGAGAGGGTATGGTAAGGATGTAAGGGAGCAGGTGAGAGAGGGAGTTACCTGTAGGGAATGCTGGGGCTACTGGGATGGACTGTTCTCTCTAAAGCTGCCTGCTGTTTCTTTAGAATCACCTCCGCCAGTTTCTGCTTGACCACACTGCTGGCCACGGCACCTGCAGAGGCAGACGACCATGAGAGAGTTTGGGATGGGTAGACAGGAGGCCACCCTGGTACATTCTCTGCCTGCTGCCCCATCCACTGCCCCAATACAAGGTGTCCTAGGGACTCCTCAGGTAAGAACCAAGCTCGAGGCCTCACCTCAACCCTCCCCCCATACCCGCCCCCACCTGCATTCACAGGCAGAGCCCAGCAAGCAGAGGGATATCTGGGCTGGCGTCACTCCCACCCCAGCCCTCACGTGCCCACACAGGAGGGCCATGGACACCGGCCGGGGGTGGGATGGGGGCTCCATTCTTACTTCGCTTGCTCTTGTCCTTATTGAGAAGCTGCCGCAGCTCTTGCTCCTGCTGCCCCACCGGCAACTCAGGCATCGGCGTGTCCATTGAGAGCTGTGGGCAGGGCCAGCCGCCCAGGAAGGGGCAAGGAGTTGAGGACTGAGACAAGGGTCTGGGGGGGCCAAAGGGAGGGAGGGGGCCTTGGGGCTGAGCTCAAGGCTGCCATGTGTGCAGAGAGCTCTGTCTTTACCCTCATGGGCTCCACCGAGCGCTGCTGCTGCAGGCCTGCCAGGAAGAGGCGGTGGTGCAGGTGCTGGGGGTGCTGCAGGGCCAGCAGCGCTGGCTCCGGTGGGGGTTCCACCGGGGGCCGCTGGCCCACCCGCAGGTCCATGGGCTGGGGCTGAGGGCCTGGCGTGTCTGCCCGGGGCCTGGGGCAGCCTGGGGACACAGAGAGAGTGGTGTCAGCCAGAAAGTTTGTCTGCAGGTGCATGGTTACAGCCTCATCAGCCTCCTTCAGGCTCACTTGACTCAAAATGACACATGTTTGAGGGGCCTTTTCTTCACTTTGTCCTCACCATGGTCCCTCAAGGTAAGTATTTTCAATTCCATTTCACCCATGAGAAAGGAGGTGATAGAAAATGTACACAATCCGTCGCTGGTGGGGTTCAAATTGAGCATTCTGACTATGAGCATACCGCTTTCCCACTAAATGTGTTGCTTCTCCAAGCTGGAAGCTGGGGCTGTGGAGATTTGAAGATGGGCCGAAAGCCCTTTGGTGGTACATTCTGGATACTGCCTTTTCTTTCCCTTCTTTCCCTCTGGAATTAGGGTTTGGTCCCGCTGCCCCTAACGACAGCAATCAGACGGGCAGACAGTCCCCTTTATTCAGCTTCCAACCCCAAAGGGCCTCACAAGCCTCTCAGTTGCCACCCTCCCTACTCTATCCCAGGCCATAGGATATAGAAGCGGTGCCTCGACTTTACAGCCAAGCCCTGACTGCCACCTCAGGCCTGCACAGACCACATGCCCATGGAGCCTGCTCTCTCGGTTACCCTCACGCCAACTCTAGGCCTGCAGTAGTAAGGACAGTTGCCTCTTCTTGAGTGTCCTCTGCACCTACGCCAGGGGCACACTGCCAAAGCTGTGGGTGCAGGGACTATTTATACCTAGCTGCCAGACCAGGTTCTCCACCAGCACAGCCAGCTGGACCAGGCCGAGCTGAGCAGCGAAAGATGCTCAGAGATGGATCTGCTGCTGGGTGATTATACTGAAGAAGAGGAAGCAGGTAGGGGTGGAAGTAGGTGCCCTCAAACAGAGCACACAAGCACAAAAATCCTCCTGGTGAGGCTTTCATCAGCTCATTCAATGCTGAACAATCTCCATCAGGGCAGCCACAGGCTGTCCTTGGGGCCTGAGACTGAGGGAGACTGGAAGGCACTATGGCAAAGCTCCAGCTGGGGAGTCAGGAAACTCGGCCTCCAGGCCCAACTCAACCATAACTAGTCATTATCTTAACATCTGTAGCATATGTGCACATGTGGCTGCAAAACCTTCTCACCTCATCACCCCCCTAGGCCCTAGGAGGTAGCTGTTACTATTCAGTCATCCCAAACAAAGAAACTGAGGCTAAGGTAAGGGCCACCCAGCTCGGGGCAGAGTGAGCATGGGTT